AAGAAGGCCGCCGCCAAGGAAGCCCGCCAGCGCCGCTAAGAAGCCCAAGAAGGCAGCGGCGGTGAAGAAGAGCCCCAAGAAAGCCAAGAAGCCGGCGGCTGGCGGGGCCAAGAAAGCGGCCAAGAGCCCCAAGAAAGCTGCCAAGGGAGGCCGCCCCAAGAAAGCAGCGAAGAGCCCGGCCAAGGCGAAGGCGGTGAAGCCCAAAGCAGCCAAGCCCAAGGCGGCCAAGCCGAAAGCGGCCAAGGCGAAGAAGGCGGCGCCCAAGAAGAAGTAAATTCTACCAGAAGAGTTCTGCTCAACCTATTTTGTTATCCAACGGCTCTTTTAAGAGCCACCCACACTTTCCCTAAAGGAGCTGAGGCGCCGAGGTCGTCAGTAGCCCCCAGCAAGGATCCAGTAATTCGTAAGTCGTCAGAGGTCAATTGTGCCCTTTTTTCCCCTACGATTATCGAAAGAAACGCTAACGAGCACGGTATAACGCGGCGGCTTTAGGGAAGTGTAGACTTTACATCTTTTTGCCGAGTAATTGGTTTGACTACCAGGAAGCAATGTTTTATAGTAATGATTTGATAAAAATCGATGTACTTTTTTTAAGAATATATTTTGTAACAAAAGTAATGCAATTGTCAGGCACGCTACTACTGAGCCATGTTTAATCTAGTGTATTATTTCTCTCAAGATGTCTCCTTAAATGTTTTTCTCTATTTGGGGGAGGAGGGGAGGGTTTTCTTACTGACCCGAAAATAACCCTGAGCTCTCCCGTTCCTTTTGTTCCCGATGAGAAAGAAAAGGAGCTTTAAGTATTGAAAAAGCCCGCCCTGACCAAGGATTGGCCAGCGGAGAGCCCGGCCCGCTGCCCCTTGCCCCCCTTCGCCTCGTATCTCTGGTGCTGTTTCAGCCACTCTCGGAGAAGAAAAACGCGGAAGGGGGGGGGAGGGACGGGAGCTCTCGCCGAAATACCCTGTTCCTGTGTTCTCTGGCTTAAGAACTAAACGGAAAATATCCCATGCCAGGAAGAACTGGCATTGGGAGGACGTTTTGGCACGACTTTGTGTTCACAAAAACATGGAAAGCGTTGCTACTATTACCAAGCCAAAAATACTGTTAATAAACATGGAGAAAATAAGACAAAACACGGGTTGAGTAATTCATATAAAACGGCATAACTATAGTACGGATAACTGAGCTCTCTTATGATTTTGTGGGTGGCTCTGAAAAGAGCCTTTGGGTTATCTTCTTCGGAAGAGACAGCGTGCCGCGTCTCCGTTTTGTTCACTTGGCTTTAGCCTTGTGGCTGTCGGTCTTCTTGGGCAGCAGCACGGCCTGGATGTTGGGCAGCACGCCGCCCTGCGCGATGGTCACCTTGCCCAGCAGCTTGTTGAGCTCCTCGTCGTTGCGGATGGCCAGCTGCAGGTGGCGGGGGATGATGCGCGTCTTCTTGTTGTCGCGGGCCGCGTTGCCCGCCAGCTCCAGGATCTCGGCCGTCAGGTACTCCAGCACGGCCGCCATGTACCGCCCGGGTTGTGCCCCTTGCGCGGCAGCCGGTGCACGCGGCCCACGGGGAACTGCAGCCCGGCCCGCGACGAGCGCGACTTGGCCTTGGCCCGCGCCTTCCCGCCCTGCTTCCCGCGGCCCGACATCCTCGCTCGCTCGCTCGCTCCCTTCTTCGAGCAACCAGCAGCGCAACGGAGCAACCAGCCAGCGCTCCTCAGCTATAGCCTCGCTTTCCCACCTCGCCCCTTCGCTGATAGGCTGAGAAGTAGGTCTCCTCTGGGCAGCCAATGAGAAGGTGAATCGCATTCCAACCAATAAAAAACGGCCATAGGGGAGTTATGACGCGTTGTTACGTTCTGACCAATGAAAATACGCAGAGGGAATGCTGCTTATTTGCATAAGGGAGCTATAAATGCGTGGCACGCTTCTACTCCGCCTCACTTCGTCTGGCCGCTGTTGGCTGCGTTGGTTGGTTGGTAGGGTCTGAGAGAGACGCACGTTTGCCGTGATGCCCGAGCCGGCCAAGTCTGCCCCCGCGCCCAAGAAGGGCTCCAAGAAAGCTGTCACCAAGACGCAGAAGAAGGGCGACAAGAAGCGCAAGAAGAGCCGCAAGGAGAGCTACTCGATCTACGTGTACAAGGTGCTGAAGCAGGTGCACCCCGACACGGGCATCTCGTCCAAGGCCATGGGCATCATGAACTCCTTCGTCAACGACATCTTCGAGCGCATCGCTGGCGAGGCCTCGCGCCTGGCGCACTACAACAAGCGCTCCACCATCACCTCGCGGGAGATCCAGACGGCCGTGCGGCTCCTGCTGCCCGGCGAGCTGGCCAAGCACGCCGTCTCCGAGGGCACCAAGGCCGTCACCAAGTACACCAGCTCCAAGTAGAGCGTCTCGGATCATCAGTTCTAACCCAAAGGCTCTTTTAAGAGCCACCCACCTTTTCAATAAAAGGGCTGTACAGTCAAATATGGAAAAAACTTTAGTTCTTTAGTGGGAATTCTTAATTTACTGTCTTTTTTAAAGTCTCATTTAAGATAAATTTCGACAAAGTATTGTTCTTCAATTTCCTGTGTCAGGGAACATACTTTATCTGGGTAACAAATGACTTGCTGTAACTACAGTTTTTTGTATTTTCTTTCTAGGCGACACTTTTCTTCTAGTTCTATTACGCTTTTCTTTTAAGATTGTGGTATGTATGTTTCTTGCACAATACCACTTACTTCTAAGTATGTTCATGTTATATGTGTTGTAAATCGAAGGGGAAAAAAACGGCTTCTGTAGTTTTCTAGTGGGTGAAAGAATCAAAATTATTACTAATGGCAACTTACCTATGTTCATCGTCGTAGCTGCTATAATACCTCCTACCACTTGATGGTGCTCAGTCTTTTTGTAGCAAAGTGAGAGGTTTACAGTGCACTGTGCTGTAAAAGAAGTTACATAGTAGCAAGTGACATTTATCTTAATAAGCTGTTATCAATAGCCCAGTGATTAATACAACACAGAAGTCCTTTCTAAAATTATTTATCTTCAGCAATGTTCTTAATAGTTCTGCTGTGCATGTGATTTTTACAGTAACTTGCACAGCTTCTCCCTAGGACTGCTTTAGGGAGAGAATATTCCCCTTGTAACTAGAAACGCAAAGTGAAGATGAATATTATTTCATACCTACCTGACCTTTCCTGTATTTATATGTCATTAATTGTATTGAAACTATTAAAAAGCTGACTTCTTAAACTACTAGAGTTTATCATATAGTTACTAATCAGCCTCAAATCTCAGGCTGAATCACTCCATCACGTTCTTGGGTAATTAGACACTTCTGTAGATGCAGATCCAAGCCATTATCGCCTTCTCTCAAACTGGCTCTGAATAACTCTGAATTCCAAGCATATTCTGTGGATTTGTGAACAGGCTTAGTCCACAGAGGGACCACAGAATCACAAAAGTCAACCTTTCTAGTACTGACTGCATGTTGTTTGGTGGTACAGAGGCAGGCACCAGGTCTCTCTTAAATCAGCCACCAATTTATCAAAACTAATTCCAGCTTGAAGGCTGATGGGCACCTCTCAGATTGCATTTCAGATATCCAGTGGAAAGAGGCATCTTCCATACTCAGTTCTCCAGCAGCTTCAAATGGAGTTTAGAGATCTGCTCTCCGAGTGCCTTACTGCAAATTCTGAAACATAGCTTGCATATTCTGGGCCTCTCTTTATGTCCAGTACCTAAAAAGATGTATAAAACATAGTATATTCCCGTCTCTAATACCATATACTGAAAGTGTTCAGATTTTGACAGGGGTAGTGATCACTGGAACAATTTGTCAGTGGCTATTATTCTCAATAACCAGTCACATAAAAGTCAAAGTCAGTTATGTTGTCCTAAAAAAAGACCTTAGTTCAAACTGGAGCTATCACAAGTCAGCCCTGTTGCCCGAGTTAAAGTAGGAGCTCAGTGGTGCCTTTTGGCCTCCCAGTTCAGGAATCCATAAGCATTCTTTTTGCCTTTCCTCACTTTGTATGCTCCATGCTGCACTCTTCATTAACATAGCTTTCACAGAAATTTCGTGGGTTTTTTGTTTTGTTTTGTTTTGTTTTTTTTTTAAAGGCTGTTTCAGTATGTGAAATTGTTTCTAGGCTCATGAAACTCTTCACTAAACAGAAAAGAAAATGTTGTTTATGATTGTTTCTTCCAACCTCAATATGAATGATAAGGCAGTATTAGGGGGCTATAATGTGAACACAGCATTTCTACCTGCACACACATGTCACCAGATCTGATTCTAACACATCCGTTATTTTTCCATCAGTGCTGAGACCAAAGTTTCTGAAATGACAAAAAACAACTACCATGGAAAATTTTGTGTACCTGTTCTTTTCACCAGAGGTCAAAGTAGTAGGATTTAGGCTCAACAAGAATAGCAAACAGAACAATTTCATCCCACAGGAGGATGAACATCCAAAATTAATAAAGCAAATAGTGTCAATACAAAATCATATGACAGCATGTTCTTCCATCTTTCATGTTCTTTAATGTTCTTTCCTTTTCAGCTCAAAGCAGTTTTCTTTGTATTCTTAAATCCACTCTACCCAGATGACGTCACCCAGCATCGGTAAGATGGCACAGTGTTCAAATACATCATCCTGGTGTAGCAGGAATTATGCTGCTGCCACCTAGACCATGGGAGGAATTAGGCGGATGCCACCTCAGCAGGGCTCAGCCCTAGGTTCCTGCTCGAAGAAGACGAATATCCAATCGGCTGAGTAAATAAGTGGTTTATTTATCTGACAAGCAGAGCAGCTCGAGCTGGGTGCCTCCAAAGAGGGACCCCTACCCCAGTTCACACCCCGCAGTTATACCCGTACCATCCAGCACCCGATCCCCAAGCCCAATCGCTTAATTCTGGTCAGTGGTCTCTTGATTTCTTACTGGTTTTCTTGGTCTCTGGGCTGGCCTTCTTCTGAAGTTACCTCATTCTCTTGGAATTGTTTCCTTGGTCCTTAGCTTCTTCATTCTGCTTGCATCTGCCGGTTTTGGCTAGTTCTGTGTTTGCAGCATTAGTTTTATCAAAAAGTTTACTCTTGCTCAGCTCTTGCGGCCTAAGGCTTCAACTACTTCAGCTTCTAGTGTTAAGCAAGGCTATCAATCCTAACAATTCTCAACACTGGGAAGTGCTAGAATACATCATCTTTAAACAGGCCCTTTGTGCTGTATTTTTATTTACCCTCCATGTCTATCTTCAAAATACTTCTTTGTTCACAGCAACTGAAATACAGAGTATATTTATTTTTGGTTATACAAACTTTTTTTGTCAAAATACTTTCTTTATGTCAGCAACCTTTTGTATGTCAAATTATCAGTTACATTACAGTTTACTCCTGTAGTGAATAACCAGCCATAAAGAATACTGAAGAACAATCCAAACAGTTACAGAAAATTCCCCTATCTTATTCTTAATAGAATAATAAAGTTAGTAGCATTCTTGGAAAGACTTATATCTTCTCTAGATCAGCATACCTACAGTAAAATTTATATTTATTAATCATCAAGTTTAATAAAAGTGTTTGTATTTCTGCAAGAGTGAAATACACCAGCTGGGTAAACAAATAATTGTATTCTCTAGTTAACGACCGGACAGCAAATCAGAAATGAGAAATAGATGCCATACACCTGATCCAAAACCTGAATAGATCACATACTGGCTATAGCAATTTTATACTACCTCCAGCTCTTTTTTTTTTTTTTTAATGGAGTAAATCAATAACTGCTCACCTACTTATGAAATCAAATTGGCCAGAGATTATAATTACTCAACACACAGGGCAAATAATTGCTATGTTAGTTTCCCAGAGACTTTCTTTTCCAGTTTTAATAGAAAAGAATATATTTCAAAATAAATACCATTGAGGGAGAAAGTGTTAACTGCAGCTGGGGAAAAAGATTTGGTCTTATACACACCTTGATGTAATGCTTTTGGCCAGTAATGAAAATGTGACTGGTTCAGGTTGTACAGGAAACAATGGAGTCCTTGGGCTCCAAAAACCTGGTCTCGGGGTTGTGCTGTGTCAGAGCACAGAGCAGCTCAAGAGGTGACACAAATCTCACTGGAGAAGAGGGGTGGAAGCAGAGGGGAATGCAGCTGGGAACACCCCTCCTCCCTTCCCAGCTCACATACCTACAAGGAAGGAAGAAGCATTACAATGACCAGGGGCAGCTCTTTCCACAGGGTCTGGGGTCACAGAACCAGAGGCCTATGTAGGTAGAAAAGGTTTTTTACGTTTTGGGTTGGGTTTCTTTGGTTTCTTTGGTGGTTGCAAAGAACTAAATTATTTGACGGCCTGTCCTGATAGAGAGGTTGTTCCAAAAGCATTCCTTGTCAAAAATGATACTAAGTATTAGTCACAAAGGTTCTTCCATTCATTTTTTAACATAGAAAAGCTTGGGAAGCAATTCTGGACATACTTGCATTTTCAAACTGGAAAATAAGTAGTTTGTGTGTGAAAGGAGTATCAGGACAGCTTGGAATTTTCATCACCAGTAAAATCCACAACCTTTTTGTACTTGTAGTCCTACTTGCATTGCCTGTAGATTTTGTACTTCAAAGGGTCATAGGCAAATGGAAGAAATAATTCCCAAAATAAGAGGGCACACATGGAGAGTTACAGCTGAATTTGGACTTCAGACAGAGTAAAGGTTCTTGCACTACCTTTGTGCAGCATCAGAGCTATGGAGAAATGCATGCATCTCTTGTATGCATCCCCTTTTCCTTTTGTAGCAAGTAGCAGCCACCAAAACGCAAAACAATCTGAATACTCCACGTGATAAAGTTTTTTTTCCCTGTGCGCTTGGGACACAGCGAGGTTAGCGTCTTTAATCATCCCGCTTAGAAAAGAGGACAAGAATTACCATAGGAATGACATGGCCCCAATCTTTCTACACATAGAAATACGTCTTTAAATAGGGCTGCCTCCTGTGCTCCAAGCACCAGCAGACCTGGCTGACCGCATCACAGGCAAACCCGGGTGCCTGGGCTCAGCTGAGCTGGCTCAGGAAGCCCAGATAATGCATCTGAATCGGCACCACTCCCTGCATGCAGGGGCTTTTAAACTCCGCCTTTTGAAATCGCTGGTACAAATCCCATGGAAGAAGTGAAACAGTCATATTGGGTATAAGGCACATTTAGGTCCTGGAGTTTTAGCCTTAACCGATACTTAAATGTCACGCAAAACCTCACGGGATGTGTATGTGTTGTACTTCAGACTTACAATAGCAGCTTCTAATTGTGCATTTATTGACGGGACAAAAATCAAACAATTAGGGTTTCTAAAACGTTGCTAAAGATAATCAGAGCGATTAACCCTTTTCATAACACCATGAAGGCAGATAAGCCTTTTACCCTTTTTTTATTTTTACGGTATT